GATCTGATGTGAAAATTGCATATTTAATAAAACCATGCAAAATTTAGATGTCATAATGTGAATATATATTGTAGCTATGCTACAATCATAGGCCACTTTACTAGATACACCTATTTCACTGCTCATGAAAAGAAACTGAGGCTAGAATTCACACAGGCTCATCAAAAGTGGACAATAGAAGAAATTGATACTGATTTAGTGATGGCTGCTTCTAGCAGGATAACACACCTTGTCTCGGAGCTCAAATTATCTCAAACTGGTTTCTTGTTGAATCTGTGCCACAACGAGTTAAGACAGCTCTGGAGACAACATCAGGTCTAAACTAATCCCAGTGGCTAATGAGTGTGTATGGACAAACATACTGGGTAACATCCACATCCCACCTACAGGAGTTGCTCAGCCATGAAAACCTATGCCACAAAGCTCCTGGCTCACTTTTGTGTGCTTATATTAATGCCAGACGACATTTCCCCAGCAACCACATGGTTGCACTTTGGGCACTGTGAACTGCCCATTGTGGGCCCCAGTATTGCTGTGAAATGTTGGGCAGACTGTTTGATCTGAGCAGCGTACCCACTGTATGCCCACACATCCAGTACTCCCAGAGTGTGGACCAGAATGTTGTTTATGATTAAAGCTTCTTTTAGCCACTCCCACAGTTTCAATAGCAAAAGTGACCAATTAAATGTCTGAGAGGTAGAGGAACAGAAACCACAATATCTACTCTGCAGCCCTACAAAGTATGATCAAAGTTCATTCAAATCTTTTCCAGCTGTTGTGTTTGCAAACAGAATGAAGCACACGCTAACAAACACATCCGCTCTTTGATGGAGGTGACTATGATTCTTACAACTATAGTGTGTATTGATAACATATCAAAAGTATCCTATAAAGATATAAAATATCACGTCACATCTCTGCAAGATCAACAGATTGATCTTAAGTTCAATTCACTAATAATGCTATATAGAGCTATTTAAAACTATACAGTTTATTCTTTTACAAACCAGAAACAAATCATAAACCTTTGACTAAACATTTAAAATAATTTTTCTGAACAATGAAATGAATAAAACAAATGTACTATATCCCCATAAAAAAAAAAACAATAACTCAAAATAGTGGTCAAGCATATTAAAATGTGCTTCAACAGGGCAGATAACAAAAGCCTGCACTCTGCACTTGTTTTCACGGCATTACAAACTTCTTAACGTACGTACAAGGTGACATTTAAATTTCGCATGATTTTGTTAAATATGCAAAGCTTATTCTACACAAAAAACAAAACCATCAGCATGTTCACACAACTGTATAATCAACCAATCACATGGCAGCAGCTCAGTGCGTTTAGGCACTTGACAAGATCCAGATCCAGATATAAAATATCATTAGAGTCCGTTTTTTTTGTTTTTGTTTATATATCATGTGGCGCAAATGGGAACCTGAAGTTTATTTCCGGTGCTGTGGTTAAAGAAAGTGAGCTCCACACTGGGAAAAACACGTTATTTTTATCTGCATTTGAAAGAGCTGGACAGCTGTGCTGAATGAATGAAATGACAAAGTATTTAAAAAAAAATCCACATGGCTGAAAACTTCCACGTGTTGCTCACTTTAACGTGACCACTCTGCTAGCTGAGTGAAGCTACATGCACATTTACATTCCCGTCTCTTACTCACCATCACGGACAGCCTGGTGACAGCACAAACTTTAACGGGGTTTTTAAAATATTCCGTGTCTGTGACAGCAGTGGACATGCAGGCTGGACGTGACCTCTCCCTGTGTTTCAAATCCACACGGTCAGCGCCGGTGTGTTTGTGTGAGGCGGTTGCTAGAGAGTAAATGTTTCTCACATATTTTAATATGCATTCAGTTAATATAAAGCACATTTTTCTTAATGATTGATCACTTGAATAAATAAATAAAACTTTGTTTTAACTATTTTAGCTGCTTTTCACTCAAAATCATTACTTCATGTGAAGAATTTTTTTTCAGTCCACCCCCAGTTTTTTTTCCACATGTGTAAACACAACACTGGTTCCTCCCTTGAGTTAGGTGCATTTTATAACAAATTCTTTAGTAATCAATAGATCACTGTGAAGCAAAAAATGGAAGACAGTCTGGCCCCTTGGAATGAAAGTACAGATAAATGAGGGGTGGCTTTTTGCACAGAACTGCATTTTTTTTAACTATAAGAGAATTTATTAGAAAGAAAGTGTACTTTATTGATCCCTGTGGGGAAATTCCTCTCAACCCATTCACTCAGTGAAGCAGTGGGCAGCCATTGGGCGCCCAGGGAGCAGTGTGTAGGGATGGCACCTTGCTGAGGGGTACTTCAGGGTAGCTGTTCAGGGGAATCAAACCCCTGACATTCCAATCATGGGGCCACCACTCTACCTACTGAGCTATCCCTGACCCTAAAATGTTATCTAAAGGACTCTTTTAAGAATGGGATTATGAAACTTGTTTGTTACCCAGGAAACGCTTAAACAGCGGGTATGGCGATTGAACCTATAACCTTGTGTGTTATCAGCACCATATTCTAGTTATCTGACTCGTGGCCTAAATCGTCTGATCTGAAGCCAGCTGTAGAGTTCAGCTGATGAGCTGTGCAGATAGAGGTTGAAAGCAGTCATTTATATTCCTTGTCAGCTGACACTGCTGTTATTGTTTTTAGGAAAGCCCGTGTTAGGTATAAAAGCACTTATGTGGAGTATTTCTGACTTCTTTTTTGCTATTTCTTGTTAATGAAGCCCAATTGGTAATAAGAAATGTGCTCAAGTGAACTCAGCTATTACATACCTGGACTCACTTATGCACTTTAGTGGCCAGTATGGGGCTTGAACCCATGACCGTGGCTGTTTCAGCACCATGCTCTACCCACCTGAGCTAACCAACCTGCACGAAGAGTGGTCAAACAACAGTTTTTGTTTTCCAGGATTTCACTGAACAAAGACTAGTGGATCTATTCTGGACCTCCAATCAACTGAGACTACTAACGATGCAAAACCAACATAAATATCCTTTGGATAAGGCGTCTGACTTCGGATCAGAAGATTGAGGGTTTGAGTCCCTTCGTGGTTGGTTATGCGTTTGCTACAGAGAAATTCTAGTCTTATGTGTCGGTAAATGAGGGAAGGACCAGAAGCCAATCTACCATTACACATTAATGGCCGATTATAAATGAGGAACGCAGTTCGGGACTGATGTCTAATCAGCCATCCTGTTTCGTTGGGGGTTTTTTTCTTACAGAAAAAGGAATTTCAAAAATATGCACATTAAAAAAATCAAAAATATAAAACTTGATAAAAGCTAATACAAAACATTTAAATTTCACTGTTATGAAGTACATTAAGTGTTTAATGGGTGCATAAACAGCGGGTATGGCGATTGAACCCATAACCTTGTGTGTTACCAGCACCATATTCTAGTTATCTGACTCGTCTGAACTGAAGCCAGTTGTAGAGTTGAGCTGATGAGCTGTGCAGATAGAGGTTGAAGCAGACATTTATATTGCTTGTCACCTGACACTGCTGTTATTGTTTTTAGGAAAGCCCGTGTTAGGTATAAAAGCACTTATGTGGAGTATTTCTGACTTCTTTTTTGGTATTTCTTGTTAATGAAGCCCAATTGGTAATAAGAAATGTGCTCAAGCGAACTCAGCTACTAGTACTACATACCTGAGCTCACTCATGCACTTTAGTGGCCAGTATGGGGCTTGAACCCATGACCGTGGTTGTTTCAGCACCATGCTCTACCCACCTGAGCTAACCAACCTGCACGAAGAGTGGTCAAACAACAGTTTTTGTTTTCCAGGATTTCACTGAACAAAGACTAGTGGATCTATTCTGGACCTCCAATCAACTGAGACTACTAAAGATGCAAAACCAACATAAATATCCTTTAAAGCCTTAGTTTTGTTTTCATTCACAGTTTCACGTCACATTTGTTGGACATGCTGCGCCAACTGATTTAGACAGGAGTCACAACCTCAAGAGCTGTAGCAGAAGGGCTGTAGCTACATCGTAAGGTTTTAAAAACTGAGGTATAAAACGTGCTGCGATGAATAGTGGTAATAAAAACCGCGAGAGGCCAACAGTGATCACTGCCTTTTTTAAGGGGCTTGTTCAGATTAAATAGAACAAGATACAAAGCATTAAACATGATAAAACACAACAGCCTTAATAAAGCAGAGTAATTTGGACCCGGAAGCAGGGTTCATACATCATCACTTAAAGACTGGATATCCCACCTGCTGTGAATGTTTTAATGCAGTACAGTTGTTATTATTAGTCACATATGCAGTTAAAATAAATAACATTCATATAAGAAATAAAATTGTCTTGTGTAAACTGTATATGGTTTAAATAGGCCTATACTACTGTACTTTAATGTAGGTCATAAGGGTGGTACTTTAAGGGCCATATATTTTATGAGGTGGTACTCGTTGTGAAAAGTTTGAGAACCACTGTTGTAGAGAGTGATAAATGAGAGAAAAGTGACACTATTTCAGATAGTGAATCACCAGGACTTCCAGTTGACGTCATCTGGCCTCTGTCCAGGCTACGTTATCGAAGACCATGTGGCCTAATGGATAAGGCGTCTGACTTCGGATCAGAAGATTGAGGGTTCGAGTCCCTTCGTGGTTGGTTATGCGTTTGCTACAGAGAAATTCTAGTCTTATGTGTCGGTAAATGAGGGAAGGACCAGAAGCCAATCTACCATTACACATTAATGGCCGATTATAAATGAGGAACGCAGTTCGGGACTGATGTCTAATCAGCCATCCTGTTTCGTTGGGGGTTTTTTTCTTACAGAAAAAGGAATTTCAAAAATATGCACATTAAAAAAATCAAAAATATAAAACTTGATAAAAGCTAATACGAAACATTTAAATTTCACTGTTATGAAGTATATTAAGTGTTTAACGGGTGCATGAAATAAAAAAAAAATACGGGTAAATTTTAAGAGGCTGAGTTTTATTTATTTATTTATTTCGAGACTGGCGGAACCTTTTAAAAGCGCCGCTGTTTGTCGTCGGTGTTGGAATTCTTAACTGTCAACAGGAACCGACTGCGGAGCAGCAGCGTGTGTTGTTGCAAGCTTTAGTACGTTTAAAATACCGTTTTTCTCAGTGTCTCTATGTGTGTTAGGAGCTGTCGGGTTAGAATAACCGAACTTCACTTTAGCGCGTTTACAACTGTAGAGACACAAAAAATTAGCTTAACTTACACCTTGAGTACCAGACCTTGAAGTCTGTCAATTCAGAGCTAAAAGTGAAACATTTTGTAGTAAATTTGTTTCTAGTATCGTGTAGATTGTTGCCGAGTTAAAAATTTTTAACTATCGATGTAAACTGAAGTTTGTTATAAACTAAATATTCATTATATTTTATGAGAAACGTTGAAACCTAAAAAATGTTTGATTTTTAAATATAGTTTGGTTTTCTGGTCATTTGTTACTAGGTTATACGCTCAAAAGGGTGAGAAAAACCACGTCTATAATCCCTTTTATTTTATGAATACACCTAGCAACACACATTTCTTTTTAACACTCGTGTTCAGTGTCTTTATTTTTATATTTTTCTTCATGCTTCGTCTTTGAATTCTAACAATGATCGCTGCGTGTTTAAGTCTCTGGAAATGCTATGTTAATTATAATACAGGCTAGATGGTTACCGAGTTAAAGAGTAGCTGCTACTCATGCGTGTATGCTCTAAAATAACACGATGACTCCTACCAGTATGTGATAAGGAGCAGTGGGATTTTAAATTCCTAATTTTTTGAACGGAGTTTGGACGACACAACCGAGAAAACCGCTGGCATGTGCGTCCACCGTCCTTTCGGTGTAAACTGGTGTCATAAAGTGACTGATTTGGTGTTTTTGAGTTTTCTTAATGATCCTGAGTCAACCTCTGTGTTGTGTAGTGTGTTTCTAATGACTTACTGACGAGAAACACTCGACTTCCTTCCCCGAAAACAGAAGCTGCCACTGCGGTCTGAACCTCCTGCAGTGCTGTGATTATGCGGCCAGCTCTTCGTCTATAAAACGCGGCTTCAGCAGAGCTCAGCTCAGGCTTTTGGGGGCGCATTCCTCGGAGGTGAGTGATTAGAAAACATTTTTGATATAAAATGAAATTAGACCATGTGTTCACTGGCATTCACTTTCAGAAACAGCAGCTCCTGCTTGCTTTGACCGACAAATATGGCTACGTCCTGTGATAATAGGTGCTTTTATTGTGAAAGAAAATACTTTGCTGTTGTTTTAATTACTGTTTTTAGTGCAACCCTTTTTATAATATCAAAGCAACATTCTGTTGTAAGAGTTGGAATACTAATAATATTAATAATAATAACAACAATAATGCTAACAATAATAATGACAATACAACATCTCCACCCTGCCTTTAAGTAGCTCTTTCGTCCTGTTTTCCCTGATGGAGGGAAGCGGAGCACCTGCTGAGGACATCCTCTTCCGGCGTCCCTGGCTTCCCGTGAGCATCAGTGGGTGCCAGCTCCTGGCCAAGAGCTGGTTCGGTGAGACGGCGTACCATATCCTGCTCACCGACATGCACTGTGTGTGGGAGGAGAGGATGGACACAGCAGTCATCCAGAGCAGAGCACAGGTATGCACAAATGTGAACAGATAACCTGCGAGGCCTTGTGGAATTTACTTAGCAGGAAATCTTTATTCTTACTGTTCTTAAAAGCCAGATGATCAAAAACCCGTGTTTGATGAATACATTCTTGTTCTCCATCATCAGGAGCTTAACAGGCGTTTGCGAGCCCCAGTCAAAGCCTTCTTCACTCACCTATGTGAGGTGGTTAAGCCCTGCCTGGCGGGAGTCGGCAGCCAGACTGAAAACGAGGTTCAGATCTCTCTGACGAGACAGGAGGACGGTAACATCAACATGAGGCTGAAGAGCGAGCTGGCAGGACTCCCTTTCTACTGGGAGTTTCACTGCACCCCTGCCCCAGTCGCTTTGGTACGTCCTTACCTTTCAGATTTCTTTTTTAAACCCTAATCGTGGCGGCTGGGCTGTCTGACTGTTTTGTGTGTTTCTTCAGGTATGCATTCAGCTGGTGCGCCCCCTGCTGACAATGAGCCGCCTGCTGCAGCGGCAGGTGGAGCAGTTGGGAGGTCTGCTGGTGAGGAAGGACGCTGAGATCCAGGACTACAGAGAGAATGGAGCCACGCTCAGCAGAGGTACAGAGGCTGTTTGTAAGGTCGCAGCATTTCCAGCAGCACTTCCTTGTCTGTAGTAATGGGATTGTGATATGCACCTGGTGAAAGCTGGAGGAATCCACCATCACATTACCCACTGGTTTTTGGGCTGGTGTGTTGAAGTCGGAAGCAAACATATTGGTTAGCAAGCTGCGCTGTAATTAATCTAACAACATCTAAGCAAAATGCAGAAACAGTGTGTGGACAAACTAAATACGCAGATGGGGGCAGTGTCCAAATTATGGGGTGCAGCCAGTGTGTGGGCCTCACTTGTACTGTGTTGGCCCAAGAGCTGAAGTGAAACAGAATGTTAAAAAAGAATGAAAGGTGTCCACTGCAGTTCCTGGTGAACTCTCAAATTGAGAAATGTTTGCACCCTTTCCTTTTCCAGCTCATTTGTCAACCAATCAACATTCAGTGTATGCGCAGTTTAACAACATACTATTGGGTTTTTACAGGTGCGTGTTTGCGTAACCTGGCTTGCAGACAAAACAAGTATACGTAACAGCCAGGTGCTGCTAATCAAATGCATTTGATTCATTGCTCATTAGCGAGTGTGAGCACCTGTAAAGAAGCAATAGCAGGAGCAGTAAGGAACAGCAAGAAAAAGATAATCCACAAGTGGAAAACATTTCCTCCAAGGTCAGACTGTGCAATGCTCAGTGAAAGTGTAAAAAACAAAACAAAACCCAAGAGCTCCATCTCAGACTGTACGGTTGGCACGGTGGAGGAGGGGGTCATGATTTGGGCTTGTTTTGCAGCCGAAGGACCTGGGCAGCTTCAACCATCTCCTCTGTATACCAGAGTATTTTGGAGTCAGGTGTTAGGCCATCTGTCCGGCAGCTAAAACTCCGACTGGGTCATTTAACAGGACAATGATCCACAGCACAGCAGCAAATCTGTAACAGAATGGTCCAGTGCTGAGGTGGGGGCTGCTGTAAATAAGAGTTGGGCAAAATTCCTCCATAATGATGTAAGAGACCATTTAGGTCTTAAACTAAATGATGCCTTTTTTATTCACTGTGTCTGCATTTTTGTTAGTTTTTTTTCTACTGAATAAAGAATGAGTTAGTGTGATGGTTTGTGTGTTGTTGTCCATCAGAGCTTGTATTTATCTAATTTTAAGATCTGCTATGGACAGGTCTTAAAACAAAGGCACATTAATTCATATTTAAATTTGGTGTACAGTGCAATTTTGTGTTTTCTGAAGTCTAGTTTTTGTTTTTAGTTAAATTAAATGTTTTTTAAAAAAAATTTCAGTTTTAGATTTATTTTAGCTTTAGTTCACCATGATAAGCTCAGTCTGTACCTTACACCAGGCTGTAGTTGTCAGATAAATGCGTTAATCTACGCTGCAAGGGACCGGCAACACAAACGCTGATGATCACATTCAGCCTCCATGACTCTGAACCTTAATATAATTTAATCATCTGAGTTATAAAAAAAACAAAATCACCTTTGCACAGCTATCATGAACTCGAAAACTGTTCATAGAGAACAACACGTATTTTTGCAGTTTTCAAACTCTGTCCGCTCTTTGGCTACTCAGGTTAAACATAATACAGAAGTCACTTAGATACCTTCAAAAAGTTATTGTATGTTATTTTTATTTGTTCCTAAGTAAATCAGTTTGGCTGAGATAAGTTATAGTTCTTACACAGCTGAATAAACATCAAACAGAAAACTGATTAAACAGAAGTGTGAGATGGTAGAGAATTTACTCCAATGTCCTGTTATATTTTACGGAGCAAGGAGTAGACGGCTGAGTTTATTAAACTCCATTGAGACAGCTGGTGACGCAAATCTGAAGGCTAGACCGTCCCATTTCACAGCCTCGCACTTCCGGCCTTCTCAGTTTTCGGAGGATCCGGCCTTCGCGGTGTACTTGAGCCGAAGGATGCAGCCCCTGAATTGAGATACAGCCTATGGGTGCTCACTCATTTGTGGAGCCATCCTGTAGTGGACATTAGCGGAAATGCAGTTTTTGGTACCTCCCCATAGGTTGCTAACTGTTTAGCAGTGCTTTAACTGCTTTTGTGACCCCTCAGTCTGATCACTGTGGAGTGTCATGATATCATGATTATAATCCAGATGTGTGTCTTTTTGAACCCAGAACGGCTGCAGACAGATGTTTTTGAGGAGCACACACACAGAGAAGACTTCATTGCAAAGGTGAGAGGTCACACACACACACACACACACACACACACACACACACACACACACACACACACACACACAGAGCTACTAGAAAGACTGCATAAGATGTAATAATAACTTATATGATTTACTCATGAAAGTGGCCACTTTCTCATTACTTTCATATATTGTTTTAGTAAGTATCCAAAACATACAAGTTTCATTATATAATTTTTCAAGGGATCTTATATCTGTTTTCACTCTTGTATGCTTTTCATACAAGTTTCACACAAGACAGATACAAACTTTATAAGATTTATATATATCTTTTTCATATGGGACGGACACACACACGCACGCACGCAGCCTATAGTTTGAGCTCCGTTCCTCGTCATTAACCTGCTGTGGTGAGCTTCCTTGTGATAAACCACTGCGGTCGCTGGAACTTGAGCCGTGTGACGTGCTCAATAATCGCTGTGTGCCACTTCCTGCCAATCAGGATGAGGTGAGGTTAAGTCCCCGTGTGTGTGTGTGTGTGCATGTGTACACTGTATTCAGGTGTGGAATTTCTCATCTCTTACTATGCTGACCTCTGACCTCCACTCTGTGTGTGTGTGTGTGTGTGTGTGTGTGTGTGTGTGTGTGTGTGTGTGTGTGTGTGTGTGTGTGTGTGGGGTCTGGGTTTTCAGATGCACCTGTTGAATTTTTCAGGACGGATACGACTGGTTATTTTTATATTTTTATTATGTTAACACTTCAGTGTGTTTTTCACACAGTTTCCATTTGAGTTTTGATACCCACATCCCTGCTGCCTTGACATTTGATCACCTTCAAATACACTAGTCATACTGTATGTGGTAAAAAGGAAGAAAGCAAATCAATAAATATTTAATTTTAAGGGACAGACTGAACCATTAGGTTACAGCTGGTTTTGTTACTTTTTTTTTTTTTTGGATCCAAATGTTTCAACCTTTGGATGTCTCAGACATTTAAATGTCATCTGTGTTACAAACAGAGCAGTACTCAGACAAAAAATAGCTGAATAAGTGTATTATTCCAGTTCATTTTTTGTCAATTATCCAACCAAAAAACAACAACAAAAAAAGTGTCTGTCTGTCCTTTCTTCCTTCACGGGAACTAGAGTCGATCAAAATATCTATATATTGTTATATGATTGATACAGACGCATTAAAATGTGTTCAGAATTTCCAAATCACTGATGATTCATCTCATAAGACATGACCCGCTGTTCTCCTCTACATAAAGTGATTTTTCAAATACTTTTAACCTATAAAAATCAGCCCTGTGTTTACTTGATGTTGGATCACCACTAAAGTTTGCAGTGGACTTGGTCATATTTACAGAGGTACCTACACATGTGGGTTTTTACAGGTTTCAGTCGTGGTAAAAAGGATGTTGCAGCATCATGACTCACTTTACTGCATCCTCTGATTCGATTTACAGTAGCAGCAGCGTAGTTGGCCATTACAATTAACTGCTTCTTATGCACACAGACGTTTCTGTTGCACCTTAACTTAATATCTGATGCCTACTTATCATCTGAAAACGAGCACCATCGAAATCCATGTGTCCCGTTGTAAATCCTTAAGACCAATCAGTGTCCATTAGCTGGATTATCAGTGTTTTATGGGCTGACTGCGGTGTGCAAGGAGACGTCCTTGGATGACTTTAGCGATAAGTGGACTTTTTTTTTTTTTTCTCCCTGAGCTAATGTTAGCTGGTGTATCTTAAGTAAGGTTGAGGTCCAGACTTTGACTGGATCATTGCAGCACCTTGATCCTTTTATGTTCAGATCATTGTCCTGTTTCATGACCCAGATGTCCTCACATTTGACTCTAAAATACTTTGGTATACAGAGGAATTTATGGCCAACTCAATGACTGCAAGGTGCCCAAATCATCACCCCAGTACTGATATGCTGTGTTTGGTCCACGTTGTTACCTTTTAGAACATCTTCCAAAGAAAGTCTAAGTATATTAAATTAAAACTTCTGCTTGCAGCTTTTCAGGCAGTATTTTGTGCATTTTACCTTAAACATCTTCTATGTATTTATTTATTTATTTCATTCTATTTTTTGGACCTTCATCCCTTGTGCGTATGCATGGTCTGTGGAAGTTTTTACATTTGTTCAAACAAACTGTGGTAAGAAAATACAGATGAGTCACAGATTTGGTCGAACATTCATACGCGCAGTCTATCTGTGAATAAGATCCACTGTCTCCAGAGGTGTTAAAAGATGCCTTCTTGTATGTCGTGGGGTTTTTATAGCTCTCAGGGAAATTTCCCGTCTCAGGTGAGTGTGTGGGGAAGATGCTGCAGGGCTTGCTTGTGTGTCATCAGGTTGTTTTTGGGGAGGGAAGCAGCCTGTTTGTTGATGCTGTTTGTGTAAAAGGACAAACCAGGAAAGAATCACAGTTTCATTCGGTGGAAAAGCTCCAGGTCAGGTACGATTATGACTCATGGAAAGTTACATCAGGGTCACAGTGGAAGCTCTATTTTCTGCTTTTTTAAAAAATATTTTTTCTGGGCAATCAGTGTTGAGCCAGGCTGGGTGAAGTGGACAGTCAGAAACCACAGAAGAAGGAGAAAAGTGCTGCAGTAGATCAAAGTCTTCTTCTCTCATGGCAAATTACACCGGGCTGCGACCAGGCCGCCCTCAGACCAAAGTCCAAACTGAAATAAAAGTGTGTCTGGGAAAAATGTTGCCGCGATGCGTCAAGCAGAGAATCACACGCGCGATGGATAGACTGCTATTTGTGTGTGTGTGTGTGTTTAGCATGTGTGTGTAGTATTTATCTATCAGGGTCAGGCTTTTGCATACCTGTACGCGTGCATGTCCGTGAATGTGCCATCCCTGTGTTGTGTTTGTGTCGGCATCTCTATCACCATGAGAACGTCCACGGCAGCCCTTCATACTTATATTTAGTTTCTTTTTTATTCTCCTGACGTCATGGCGTCAGCAATCTTCTGTAGCTCTCTGCCAGATAATGAATGAGCCCGTTTCCAAAAATGTCACAGTAACAGACGGATCAGAGCTGCAGGTACAACACACAGTCTGTATTTGTGCCCTGTTGCTGTTTTTAAAAAAACAACAAAAAAAACAAACAACCCGGCTTCAGTTTCAGCTTCAGCTTTTCTTCCTTGAACTTGAACTTCTTTGACATTTACACAGTTATTTACGTACACAGAGCGGCACAGACCAATATCTTCAGAAATCATCCGCCTCATCACCCTCTCCTTTACCGTTTCCTCGTGTGTGTGCGTGTGCATGTGTGTGTGCGTGTACCATTTGTGGCCTCTGGTTTCCCACATTAAGGGGAGTAAAGGGCAGAGGGACAGTGAGAGGGAGACGATGATGACAGGAACTGTAGCTTTTATTTTCTACTGCAGCTTTCCATGCAAAGCCCCTCCCCACTCGGTCACCACACAAACACCCCACCCAGCTCAGGTCAACATTTACATGGGTGGAATTAGTCTGTGCTTCCCACTGATGTACACACACACACACACACACACACACACACACACACACACACACACACACCAAAGCACACACAGGGAATTAACTTGGGCACAGGCTAAAGCTGGTCATGGAGCCAGAGGATGAAAAAAAAAGTGTTCAAATCCTTTTAGGATCACATCAGCTTCCCTTTAGGACCTAAATTTGAGGTGTGTGTGTGTGTGTGTGTGTGTGTGTGCGCTTGTGCATCTGTGAGGACCAGTTCTACAGCATGAGGATACTTTTAAAAACCTGTTGTGCTTTTAAAAGGTAACTGTTTTTTTTTTTTTTTTTTTTTTTTAAATACATGTTTTATAAGATTAGGGGTTTTTTTTCGCTGTTTCTTTCTGTAAAGTGAGAAGCCCCGTTTTAAAACTGGGGAGTTTTGGACATTTCTTTTTGTAAAATAATGGCCATTGTTTAATATGAGGTTAAGAGCCTTTTTTAAAAAGCGTGAATGTTTTAGTAAAGTGAGAACGCTTTTCTATAAAGTGCACACTTTATGTAAAAAGTGCCGTTATTTAAAGTCTTTTTTTTTTTTTTTTTTTTTCTTGAGTTTTGAAAAATAGGGATCATTTTTGTAAAATTATAACTTTTTCAAAATTGAGAGGTATCCTTGTTGAGGACTTTTTTGTGTAAGGTGTGATTTTTGCAAAATACTCTGTTTATCAAATAAACACTTTTTTTGTAACGCTAGGACCATATTTTATTTAGAAATTGAGGATTATTTTTCGTAAAATTATGTTTGGTTTTCCCTTTTTTCTTTCTTTTTTTTTTTTTTTGTAAACATAGGACTGTTGTTTATAAAGTGAGGACCTATTGTAAATTGAAAAACCCTTTTTATAAAGTACTGGATATTGGTAAATTTAAATTATTTAAAAGTGATCAGTTTTTGGTTTTTTTTGTACAATTAGAACCTTTTCCAACATCTGTAACATTAATTATATATTTTATATATACAGTGTTGAGAAGGTTACTTTTAAAATGTTTTCCACTACAGGCACAAAATATAGTTTGTAACATACTCTGTTAAGTTACTTAATGTGAGTAACGTATTCTGAATACTTTGGATTACTTAATATATTGTCATGCTTTTTAGAATTACATGACTGTACTATTGCTGTGTGATTTATTACTATTACTGAAGGCTGCATTACAACCTGCTAGCTGCAAATAATCATGGGCGGTTCTGAAAGATTTTTAAATCTTAATATAAAATGAGTAACAGTAGGGTCGACATTAGGTAAGGCTGCACTTTTTGCAGTGATCTCGTATAGAAAACTATTTCTGTATCAGTAATATATTTTCTTTCTGTCTGCTTTCAGAACCGCCCATGATTATTTGCAGCTAGCAGGTTGTAATGCAGCCTTCAGTAATAGTAATAAATCACACAGCAATAGTACATCAAAGATACTGAAGTGGCACATAACCCAGGTAGCTACCACAACTAAAACAAGGCAGTAAGCTAATGTTAGTTTTTAAAAAAGAACTTGCTTCCAGATGTTTCTTTAAG